AACTATCGTATGTTTTACAATGTGTCGTAATGCCATACCACGCTATGTAATGTAAATATTATATATCATCATGTCTTGTCATGTCTTATGTATTATATTGTCATATCATGGCATGTATTGTAGATTGTATTACGTCTGGTATTGTTATGGTTTGTATGTGTTGTAATCATCTGATCAGGTCATGTTTATATGTAAACATCATATATCATCATATCTTGTAATGTCATACGTTTTATAAAATTGGTCTAATTGTAATGTGTTGTATTGTGTTGTATTGTTTAATGTCATGTCATGTATAGTAATATAATATAACGTCGTGTATTGTACGTAGTACAACGTTGTGTATTGTGATGAATTGTATGTGCTGTTGTCATCAGATCAAATCATGTATAGCTAATATCATTTAACATCGTGTCTTGGAAAGTAAACGGAGAACACTCCGTATACCGTGGCGCTGGTCTTCCGCTATTCCCCTGGATCGTATGTCACACTGACGGCTGTCGTATGTCCTGGATGTATACATGGCGTTAGCTCTAGTGCTATAGCCCGCGAACAGTTGCCGCAGGTCGCTGTACTAGAGCTAACATGGCGTGGCATTCCGAGCAGGATGCGTTACTCCGCTCGTGCGCTCACGACGCAGGGATGCCCGAGCACAGGCACTTGAAGCGTTTCAATAAAATATAATGCTAACTATATAAATACGAAATCTATTTACTACCAAATTCTTAATGTTTCTATACTCGCTTTCACCATGGGCGCAACCACTAGGAGGGTCGGGGGGGGGTCACGACTTTTATGTGGATCTCCCCAACTTCTGGAAGACCTTATTTTCTGGGGAGGTCCAAAATAGTCCGATAAGCGTTTATTATCGTAAAACATCCACATTTCACCGGTGAAAGTTAAAATAAATAAAACCCCCAGGTGGTCAAGTGCAGTGTGATAACTGTGATTCAGATTCAGATATCTAAATAGAACCCTTATTAATATCATTTAGATTCGACCTACATAGTACATTCAATCTCACGTGCATGAAACGAGCACGACATTCACCACGCGTTCGCAAGCCAACCGTGTCTATATAGCTACGCTGCGTTGTGTTATAGACACTAAAAAAAGGCCCATCTCCACACAAGCGGCGCGTCGCGGCGCGACACCGTTCACCCCTACCGGCAAAGTTCAAAACTATTATATCTTATGGCGCAGTCTCCACTGACACTGCATGGCGCCAGCCCGGTTTCACGGCGACGGCGAAAGTCAAAAGAGTTTGACTTTTGCCGGCTGACGTGACGGCGAAAAGACAATTGAACCAATCAACGCGATTGTTTTTTATCACGTGTTCTGGGATCGATATTGAAGCAATTGCAAAGGGTTTTGTTGAAAAGTGTGACTCAAGGAAGGTCACATTTGGTTTCTAGCACTGTTCTCTGTTTTCACTTGTCAGACATTTTTTCATCATTATTATTTTCCTCTTCATCTTAATCATGCTAACTGTGTCACACAGTTAGCACAGCTTGTGTGTAGCTTTACTACTAGTTAGCTTAATCTAATTAATAAAACATTTTGGTATTTTATGTATACATGATCCTAGTAATGTCATTCATGACATCACAATTATCCAAAACTTCCATCAACACGCTGAAATACGTGATATTGAACCAATACGTGATATTCGCTTGCCTGCAGATCACGTTGCTATTGGCTGCTTGGGACCCCTCCAACTTGCAACACGTGGTTGCGCCCTTGGCTTTCACCTATTATTGCCGACAGTTTCCTGTCAATTCCGTCCAAATCCTACGTGCAACCATATACGCTGCCCGCGCCATTGCTCTCGCGGCTTCACTGTTGCACGCTTACACTAATATATATATGAAAGAAAGTATAGAAACATTAAGAATTTGGTAGTAAATAGATTTCGTATTTAGTTAGCATTATATTTTATTGAAACGCTTCAAGTGCCTGCGTGCCCGAGAATGCTTCAACGATGCTAACGGAAGCGGTTAAAGAAACCTAAAGGAATCTGACCATCTATACATCATTAGTATCGAATATTAGACATGCGGCGTTAGCGGCAAGCTTGATTTACGTAGCGATGTATTACGTCAAGTATGAATTTCCCTCTGGTGTGTATACTTAGTGTATATATATTATATATAGGCCTACATATATATTATATCAAGGTGTTTATTAGCTCTTTTGTGTATACTTAGTGTATATATTATATATATAGGCCTACATATAATAATAGCGCCCGAGGAAAAGAAAAAAAATTGCGAGAGAGAGGAAGGGAGAGTCACATAGAGGGAGAGAGCGAGCGAGAAGGCGAAAAAAGGAAAAAAAAATATTAGAAAGAAAAGAAAGAGGGAGAGAAAAATTCCGCGTCCGCAATGTAATATTCCTTATATGTGCCTATTATATCTTCATGCTTACGCGTACATGTGTGCAACCGTGACTGCGCGTATGTGTGCGCATCTCCTTTTGCATTCCTCCCTCCCTCCGTCCCTCCCTCCTTTCTCTCATCTTTCCTTTCTCTTCCCTCTCACTCCCTTTCCTTCAGTCTTTGCACCCCTCTTCCAAATGGTATCGCCCATGACCAGTCAAGCGTGAAAAATCTTTCGCCAGAAATTGGCGGAATTTCGGCTGAAACTTTTTCACCCCAAAAGCACAAAAAGCGGATTTACGGCTATAATACGCGTTTTCACAGGCACAAAAACACACATACACACACACGCCCTGACGCGCACACGCGGGTGTGGTCGCACGCGCGCGTGCGCGTGTATTATTGGCGTAAATTCACATTTTGTGCCTGGGGAAGTGAAAAAGTTTCAGAGAGAGATGAGAGAGTGTGACAGGGAGAAAGACAAGGGTAGAGGGAGAGAGTGGGGAAGTAAGACAGCTAGATAGGGTAGATAGATGATTCTCGATTTTCATGATCATATTTGCTATTTTACTGCTTTGTTGTTCGTTATAGATAACGGTAATTTTATAGGGTTTCATTTTTAGCACACTCACAGCGACGGTGACGCCATCTATGCTATGCTCCAAGCTGCCCATATTGACGTCATACACGGCGTTGCTGAGAAAAAAATCACGTTGATATTATCCATTAATTAATCCGCTTAAAATTAATCCATTAATTTTTTTACGACGTTTTTAAGTTGCAGTAGTTAAGCAAGTGGAAACTGTAGTAATGATACATGAGAAGAGATATCGCAGACGTAGCGTCACGTGATCGCTGTCATAACCGTAGTAAGGCGCAACTTACGGTCAGCATATGTTTCCATTGCTCAGAGTGTGATCGTGACGTCACGCACAAACTCGGCAATCTCCTAAGGTCAATGCATACAGCCCAGAGACAATAGAACACTAATAGTTCTGTATAGAAATGTTCTGAATATATAATATCTTCTGATAGTAATCTGTTCTAGGGTCTCTGCATTCACCTACGGAGATAGCCGAGTTCGTGCGTGACGTCACGATCATACTCTGAGCTATGGAAACATATGCCGACTGCAACTTACTCGAAGAGGCAGTGAGCGGCAGTCAAAACCCAGCGCTCGTTTATTAGACTGCCTCCACATCTCATGATCGTCGATCCGTAGAAGATTTGCCTGAGCGCCACCTGGTGACATGATCGGAAATAAATGACTCGGTTGACGCAAATACGGCTCTCTCTCTCTCTCTCTCTCTCTCTCTCTCTCTCTCTCTCTTTCTTTCTTTCTTTTTTTATTTCTCTCTCTCTCTCTCTCTCTTTCTTTCTCTCTCTCTCTCTGTCGCTCTCTTCTCGCACACTCTCTCTCTCTCTCTCTCTCTTAATATATGACACACTGCATCCTCCTAACGTGAAAAACTTTTGGAACCACAATGAAATATCAACATTGTGGCATTAACAGATTTTGGACATCTATTTCCGCTTGCGATAGGTACTAGCACGCCCTGGTGAATGAAAATACGACATTTAGCGTAGAAGGCGTCAGAGACACATATAATCAGGAGTGAATAATAATATATCTATATAATCAATATAATAGATCTATGATTATTCACTCCTGATATGTTATCAGCACACGAGGTATATATACTACCCACCGCTCCGCAACTATACGCAGCACTCCGCCACACTATCAGCGATTACACAAATAAAAACAGCAATCCGGCTTTTTACGTAAGGAAACAATATTACGTCAGAGTTAACAAGTTCCAAGTCCTCTTGACAGATGCGAGTGGTTTGATTTGCTGTATAGCCAAGACGGGCGCCGCTATCACACAAACATGCAAAAACCTAAGAACTGCCTATTTTGTGAGTAAGTTAATAGGCGCATTATATGGTTAAGCATTCATTCATGTTTAATTAATTTCATATATGATATCAAGTCCATAATAGAGAATTTGTATTATGAAGTCTTGATAATTATTCATTTATAATAACTACCTGTGGGTCAAGCTATAATTATGCATGTAGTATGTAGTTTACGATCTGTGGAGCTTTTCTGGAATAGGTTTGGTTCGTAAGAAATTATGTGCAATAGGGGAGGAATGACCAAATTATTACAAATCCTAATTATCTTTAATATTCATGTTGATGTCATATTACTTTGCGTGTGTCAGCCACTGCCACGAAATAAATCATTGTAATACAGTTACAGTGATAACAGCAAATAGATAACATTTACCAACAAGGTTGGCTCATGTACCACCAATTCATGAGCAATTTCATATCACAAACAAGCGGGTGCCCTAATGCTTGCTGCTACATGTTTGAACTCAAATTCATTTATATTTTTCTTAAATAACTATTGTTGAATACTTCTGCTCAATTTTCCTTTTATAGACAATAAAAGCCAAAATTCTCTGTAATTTTTAACCTGGTGTAATTCGTAATATATCATCTAATGTGTACTACAGATTATTATTGTTCGATTAATTTGAGACCTTGTTTTGTTGAGGTGTCACGCCGTGATAAACGAAATAATCTCATCATCGACTCAAACAAATAGAATATCGGATTCTCTCCATGTCATTTATTAATGTACATCACTCCTCATACAGATATAGAATCAATCCCCTTGCTGACCGTATTTGCATGTGCTTCATTTATGCGACCATGGCGGAGGCTGTGTCGGATTCACTGTAAGCAGAAGAAAGCAAATTTGTAAGACTACAGCACTTGCGCAAAGCGCAAAAACGCAGAGACAGGTTGGGTCAGCATCGCACACATGACAAATTTGACGGCTGGAAATTGTCAACACACACAGTTATAGGTTGTGCGTTGCCGATCACTGTGTCATACAGTCGTCAGCATTCGATTCCTCTAAAGCGGTTACATTTCGAAACGACGGCTGTTGGGTACACAGAAAAGGAAATCATGCAGTGAACAACATGACTCCAATACAGCGACCCAAATCAATTTTCCCTTCATATCTGTGCAGGTAGTGGGAAGAGGCCACGGGCGCTGCGGTAAGCAAGTGAAGGGACGTGTTTCGCAACACAGATCAGATGCCTGTCACCGTTCACACTAAGTGTCGGCTATAACGAGATGTCAACGAGAATGTGCGGTCGTATCACACGCCGCCTTTTGCATCTACCCGTCTAGTAAAGAGCCACAACTAAGAACTTACTACTTCCAGTTTGGGGGAAGAACCCGCTTTCTCTTGTAGTATCTTGCGAGGCGGTGGATACGGCTCTCAAGAATCAGACGGAACTTTGCATCCCTGTCCTGTAACCGCAGAGAGACAAACACGTGTGAAACAGTCGGTCAAGGCAAGGCAAACCAAAAACAAGGCAAGCCCACGCGCGCTATGGTGTTTCGGACGTTTCTTCGGAAAGACACTGCACACTGCAGCTGCCCCGAATGGGTTCGCCGAGGTTTATGTTGCAGTTGTTTCTGTGGACCCACGACACGGTGGCAGCCATGTGTCCATATAAACACTGCTCGCGAGCGCGGCAGTTTTAACAAACCACCGCCGCGTTCAGCATCCGCGGCACAATTGAATCTAGCAAGCCAAAAAAGCGTAGCAGTTCCCTGGACGGACGTTTTCGACGAAATGTTTCAAATACAGGGCTACCGCTGGCGTTCACCACCTTCACAAAGTTCTGTAACCTAGTCCTTTGGGGCAACTACCGTGCAACAGTGCAACAACCTAGTTTTGTCTAGACTAAACTACATTATATCATTTTTATCTGACTACTTTATTAAAAAGTTTTCGTACACATTTTTTCCCCGGACCCATCACCTGTTTATGCCTTGCTTAGCACATACGATAAAGTTAACATTGGCTATAGTTTTTCATTGGTGGCTAATAAATAACTGGCGGCTTGACTCTAAGTTTAAAACATCCAGAGGGAGCCCTGAAATACCTTTCTGTTCCTTTCCAGATGCTTCCTCGCGGCCACACCCCTCTTGATCATGTGGTAAAGGTCATCGGGGATGTTGTGCGAAAGACCCTTCGTCTTGAGAACTCGTAGAATCTTGTTTCCGGTGACCCATCTCACTTGCGCAAAGCCATGTGAGTCCCTAAGGATCACACCTGTTACACAGTAAAGATAATTTCAGCCTATGGGGAAAATATCAAGCGGCCACGGTTGGGCGATTAAAGTCATGGCATATTCAGTTGACGTTGAGACATCGCATTCAATGAATGACTCACACTAATTGAAAAATTGTACTTGATACAACACACCAGCAAACATATTTTCTGGTTGACTTTAACCTCAGCCGTTCTCACTCTCCCATCTTCACCTGGATGAGCATCGACTATCTCACCGACCGACCATTCACCTCGTTGTGCATGATTATCAATCACTAACACCTGGTCACCCTTTCTCAGGTTCTCTGTTTCCTTAGTCCACTTCCTTCTGATTTGCTGGCTAGGCAAATATTCTGACACGAACTTCTTCCAAAATGAATCTACGATCAACTGCACATGTCTCCATTGCTTCCTACTGCCAAGTTCCTCTCCCTGACTGAACGCTACGGGGGGTAATGCTGAGTCCCGTCTACCCATCAGCAACATGTTCGGTGTTATCGGATCAACGTCAGCGACATTTGACCACGCGTAACCTAAAGGTTTTGAATTCATCAAACCTTCTACCACACAAAGCACTGTCTGCAGCAAGACTTCTGTCCCGACCCTATCCTTTAAGTAGCACATGATTGCATGCTTGACCGATCTGACTTCTCTCTCCCAGAGGCCTCCGAAGTGTGGAGCACCTGGCGGAATGAACTTAAAAGTCCACCTGCTGCCTTGCCAACTTCCCTTGAAGCTCTGTGCTCTTCAGCTCAAAACACTCCGATAACTCAGATTCTGCCCCTACAAAATTTGTCCCACAGTCAGACCACAACTCCGTAGGCAGACCCTTCCTAGCAACAAATCTCCTGAAAGCCATCAGGAATCCGTCGCTAGACATACTGTCCAACAACTCCAAATGCAAAGCCTTCGTCGTCATGCATTTGAAGATTACACCCCACTTCTTCTCTCTTGACCTCCTTACTTTAACCATCATCGGACCTCAGCAGTCCATGCCTGTACTATAAAATGGTGACAAGCCTACTCTCAACCTTGCTTCAGGGCGATCAGCCATCCTGGGCACTTCTGACTCTCCTCGCCATCGCCGACACTCCGGACATGACCAGAGAACAGCCTTTACGGCACTCAAGCACTTCAGGATCCAATATCTCCTTCTGATGTAAGCAAAAACCATTTAGCAGTCTGCGCTATGGTTGAAAACATCGCTATCAATCCGCTTTATCAACAACTTTGATATATGATGGCCAGGATCTAATACAATAGAATGAACGTCAACACCCTCAATACCTTGAGCCTTTCTTAAGCACCCACCAACTCGGATCAATCGCATCTCTTTGTCAAACTCTTACTGCTTCCGGCCACGGTCTTCCCATTTTCAAGTAACCTAAACTCTTCAGGAAAGCTTTCCTTCTGGACCCTTCTGAGCATCTCCGCCTCTAGATTCTGAATATCTGCAACCTCTAATATGCTTCCATTATTGGTCTGCCTTTTATAAGCCTCTAGCAACTCCTCCCAGCACTGGATATCGTCGATACCAATATCTACGTCTTGCTGAACATTTACACTACCACTGAAGGTTGCCTTTGCTTCTTCATCTTCATCACAACCCTGGTCTTCCAACCGTTGAGGCCATTCTCCCTCTGGCTTGGTAAGAAACTTTGGACCTGACATCCATCTCTTCTCCAACCCTTGAGCATTTATACCCCTAGATAGGTCATCAGCCGGGTTGTCAGTGCCTGCAACATGCCTCCAACTTGCTCCTCCAGTTTTGCCTTGAATCTCGGCCACCCTGACCGACACAAACAACTTGAACCAACCAGGTTTCTTGAGCCAACTCAACACGATCATGCTGTCAGAGATGAAATACAAGCCCTTGAATTCAAAGGTAGACTCTTGCACAATTGTCTCTGCCAGTCTTGCCGCAATGACAGCCGCCTGCAGTTCAAGCCTCGGTATGGTTAATCTCTTGAGAGGAGCAACCCTAGACTTAGAAGCCACCAATCGACATTCGTAGACTCCTTCTTTTACCAACCACCTAACATAAGCACATGCACCGAATGCCTTTTCCGATGCATCGCAAAACGCCACCAAGCAAACCTCACTGCCCGCTGCCGGTGGAGTCAGACATCTGAGAAACTTGAACTGCTCTACCCTCTTGAATTCCTCAAATATTTTCTTCCATTCTTATTTATCCTCTTCACTTAATGGTTCATCCCAATCGCCTCCTGCTAATCACTGCTGTTGCATCTTAATCTTTCCATTGATGATCACTGGGCCAACCAGTCCAACTGGATCATATACCTTGGCCATTACTCCTAGAACCCTACGCTTAGTGAACTTCTCAATGTCAATCTCAACCTTACACACAAAAGTGTCATCACTCGGGTTCCGACGAACACCTAACACCTTCTGTTCAGAGCTATGTCCTACTTCAACCATCTGTTTACCAACCACCTCAGGTCTTGCAACTTCAAGCTTATGAACTACTTCATACTTTGTACCTTCAGGCTTAGCAACTATTCCACCTTTTGCATCTTCAAGATCTATATTCGAGGACCACGCTTTGACCTCAAACCCACCTAAGCCTAGCAGTCTATCAACCTCTTGCGTTAGTGTTGTTTCTGCTTCCGACTTGACATATGGGCACATGTCATCCATGTAAGTGTTGGCTTCTATCACCTCTGCAGCTCGCGGGTATTCTTTTCGACTTTCATCCGCTGTCAGCCTCAGTGTAGTAATCGCCATGGTTCCAGCAGGCTTATCCCCAAACAACAACACCTGGTTGACATACACATCTGGTTCTCTGTCGACATCTAGATCTCTCCACAAATATCTATGCACATGCTGATCGATCATAGGTATCAATATCCTGTGATACATCTTGGAGATATCGCCAACCAATGCTACCTGGTTCTCCCTAAACCTTAGGATGACACCAAATAAGCTGCACAACAAATCTGGCCCCTTCATCCAGCAATCATTAATGCATTTGCCATTGTATCTGTTAGACAGTTAGATGCATTAAAGACAATTCTCAAGGGCGTACTGGAGCTATCCTTTTTCGCAACTGAATGGTGAGAAATATAGCAAACAGGGCCTTGATAACTCTCGACCTCTTCTGGCGTCAACTTGCGCGAAAATCATATCTCTACCATTTCTTGCATCTGCTTGTCATAAGCCTCTGCATGCCCTTTGCTTCTTAGCAGCCTCTTCTCTAGTCCAACTAGCATCTTCTTTGCCTAATACCGGTTATCCTCCAGATCACAGATCCTTAGCCCAAGGGTAGGAAACCATCCATTGATTACCGACTCAAGGTACAAGGTACAAGACTCCCCGATGATTTTGCCTTCCAGCTTCTCAGTGGCCCTTTCCAGGGACTTGCAGTCGCAAGGTCCTATGTCCACCCCTAGTGCTTCAGTGTTCCAAAAGTCATCCAGGTCGACTGGCTTCTTGATCTGCATATGCATAACCTGATTAGCTGCTGTGGCCTCTTCCCCTCCATACACTGTCCATCCTAGAGGAGTTCTCTGGGCGACAATACCGTTCGATTCAGATTCTTCACCTGCGAGCAAATGTGCATAGTTTACACCAATCAGAATATCTATTGGTCCACCTCTTCTTTTCAGGGTGCCTGGCTTCATCTTGAATAATCGCTCATTTGCTTTACGTCAACCTCTCTTACATCGTCGATGTGTCCCCTTTTATAAAGCTGAAATGCGGTGAGTCATGCTGTCTTCACCTCGCAGCGTTAGCTCATAGTGTTGATTGAAACTCTTCTTCAATTCCACCAACCTTCGTTATAATTGCAGCTACCGCTTTGCCCTTCAAGTTCAGCTTCCTTGCAAAATCTTTACTGATTAGAGTTCCCTGGGAACCTTTATCAAGCAAGACGCTGGACACTTCCTTTCCACCTTTCGTTAACACCTCCACATCCAAGATGCTCAACATAGGATCCTTATTCTTCGCCATGTTGAGATTTCCTATTTGTCCAACTTCCTTCTTCACGTGCAGGAGCTTGTGGTGGAATTCCTTACATGCCCCGT